TTTTGTTTTTGTTGGTCCTGGGGCTTGAACTCTGGGCCTGGGCACTGTTCCTCAGCTCTTCAGCTCAAGGCTAGCATTCTACCACCTGAGTCAAAGTGCCACTTCTGGTTTTCTGAGTGATTTATTGGAGATAAGAGTCTCATGGACTTTCCTGCCCAGGCTGGCTTGGAACTATGATCCTCATATCTCAGTGTCCTCAATAGCTAGGATTATAGGCAGGAGCCATCCATGCCTGGCTAAAATATTTTTAAATTGTAAAATATTTGAAGCTTTTGTTATATGAAATTGCAAATACTATTCAAGCTATGACTGGATTCTATATATTATGAATCACTATTCACTACCCAGCAGCTCTATTTGCTGGATACTGAATGCTTTGGCTGGCAGAATGCATTCCTCCATGAGCCCACACTTTTAAGCTAGATCTACCATTTCTTGGATAAGCTGTAACATAACTGGAGTAGACTCCATCATTCTTGAAAGAATCAACACCTTTTTATAGAAATAAATGTTATTATTCTTGTTTTGATAAATTAAAAGACAAATTTATATTTTTTCTTTTTTTTATTTTTATTTTTTGTGAACATACTATACAGAGGGGTTACAATTACATGGGCAAGATAATGAGTACATTTCTTATCAAGCATTGCAGCCTTCTCCTTTGTTTACCCTTCACATCACTTCCCAGCCTCCCCCAGCCCCCCCACCCAATTCTCCCCCCAACCAAAGTTGTAAAGTTTGTTTTTGGCATGACAACTTGTACTTCTCATTGTTGCAACGGGTCCACCTGTATCCTTAAACGACTTGTTTTTCCCTATCTCCTGCACAAATTATACCGACATCAAATATAGTGAAAGCAGGGGTTATACTGAGGGGGAGGTACATACAAAGTAACAAAGAAATAATCTTATAAATGCGTTAGAAACAAATGCATGAAAGAAAAAAACATTTAAATACATATCTAAGGGTTCATTTTCCTAACATCACATTATCTGACCTTTTCTGCTTGACTCATACATATACTAGATACTGAAAATAAGGGAAACCATGGGACCTATGCTTAAGATAAGCATTTGCTCCTATAAGCATGACTCAGTATTTCACATTTAAATCTGGAAAATATTTCCCATTATATGCTGCCAGGACAATATGTTATTGAATTGATGTCTGTTGTGTTGTCTTGATACCAAAATATCAATTTAACAAATAGGTACAGATTGATATTTGTTTTTGCTTAATAAACATTTTAACACCTCACATTTCTATCTTATTTTATAACTAGATTTTAATACCCTTTTTTACTATTTGTCTGCCCAATGGATTGCTTTCTACCTACTTTATTTTATATTATGTAATCTCTCTGTTTAGGTCAAAGGGTCCCTACTAAAAACAAATGAAGTTTCTTGGGGTAGCATTTAACTGTCTTTATTGTAAAAAAAAAAAAAAAAAAAGACAGGTTGTCTCATCTTCAAGAATCCCTTTTCTCCCTTTATCTTGCTCTTGCTTTCATGATCACTTAAATATCTCCTCTGACAGAAAAACCCATCCTATCTACTATTAGAATAGAGATGTTCAGATAAAATAAAACTGTATTCGAATTAGAGGTACATGGTGGCTCTAATACTCACGAGACTGAGATCTAGAGGATTGAGCCTGAGCATAAAAGTTCTCAAGATGCCATTTCCAACTAACCAACACAAAGCTGGACTAAACGTAAGCCTGAAGTGGTAGGGATCCAGCTGTGCAAGCAAATAAGCAAGCAGAATGAGAATGAACCTCAGAGTTCAAGCCCCTGTACTGGCAAAATAACAAAAACAAACAAACGGCATACTTCTCAGCATCACCAGCATTAGAATCAGTTGTTAAATTACAAAACACATTGCCCTAAAGGGCTAACAGTCTAAATCAGACACTATTAAAACAAGGGCCTATGCCAAGAGGTTGTAACACTATAAATCTGAACATGTTTACCTGTACAAATGTCCCAGGTTACCTAGAGAAAGGACTCAGTGTCTTGTGTTTTGTACACTAAAGTGGGAGTATGCCTTCTCTAAGTCATTGCTAATACTATCACCTTCTTAGGTAAAGGTATTCCAAAGTAGCTTATTCCCTAATTAGCTAAATATTTATTTGGTCAAATGCTAAGAAATGAAACAATTGCAGATAAGTTTATATAGATAAAAATATTATGAATGATTGATTTTTCTCCCAGTGTACCTCAGACATTAAGGCCACACTTAAAAAATTGGATAAGGGACACCTCACACCCCAGTGGAGACTTTACAGACAGCATTCAAGGTGTACAATGCGAGAGAATGAAAGAGCCCAAAAGGCTAAATAGCAAATACTAGCCAAGGCAAGTTAGAGACTGCACTTGGAAGAGATGGTTTTAGGCACACATCTCCTATGTCTGCTTAAAACATAGGAAAAATTGGAAAAATATTGGGAAAAGATCTAGTTAATGAGGTTGACACTCTGGTAAATTACTCAGGGGCCACGGCCTAAATCCGTGGGGCACAAGCCTGCAAAAACCAGTCTACTCAAAGAAAACAGCCAGGAGAATACTGAGAGATTTCAACTGTCTGACCCATCTGTGTAGAAATTGCAGACCCCTCAGCAGGAGGCGTTCAATCAGCCCATTCCAGAGCACAGACCACAGAGAACAGCCACAGCCCTCCACTGACCAATGTGCAACTTCACCTCTTTCCCGACAATATTCCCCCCCCCACTTCCGTTGACTGATCTTGTGGACCATGACCTGACAAATCCCTTTCTGGATTGCTTTTAGCTCCTCCTCTATACTTTATGGGGGGAATTACTCTCCTTTGAGGAACCTATTAACCTCACCCACCTGTTAGACCTTGTACCGGATTTACTTTTAAAGGAGACTTTGTGGATTTCATGCCCCCTGAAATTTACCTCTTTACTCACTGTTCACACTCCTTTCACATATTTATTTTGGGGGGCGTCCAATCGTGGGGCCTGAACTCTGGGCCTGAGCACTATCCCTCAGCTCTTCAGCTCAAGGCTAGCGCTCTACCACTTGAGCCACAGGGCCAATTCCGGCTTTTTTTTCTTTTTGCTTATGTGGTGCTGAGGAATCGAACCCAGGGCCTCATGCATGCAAGGCAAGTGCTCTACCACTGAGCCACCTTCCCACCACATCATATTGTCTTAACTGTCCTTTCAATCAACCTTTGCTTCTCTCATTTCACAAGGGGACTCTTCTTTGTCTTCCCTGATGATGCCCTCCCACCCAGGGTACCCCTGTGCTTTCTGAGTCACCCATAAATTCTGGAGAACAGGCAGATATTCCTAAACATTGTCTCCCACAGCAAGATTTCTGGATGTCTATGTGATTTTCTGGCAGGGACTAACACAGGCAGAAGGGGGCTGATCACTCAGGCAGACTAACAATACTCTTGATCGAAGGATGGTCCATACATAAATATAGAACTCTATTGTGATAGTCAACTATTTCTACAGAAGAGGACTTTCCATTATAAAAACAAATTTGTTTTTCTTACCACATTAGGTCATTTTGTATTGAAAATTTCTTTGTAGTCCTTTGTATTATACACTTTGTAAACATGGATAATTCATTCATAATTTATTGTGGGATAATATAATCTAATGAGGGATGTTATAGTATTACTGTATAAACATAGATTTTTTCAAATGCCTTGTATAAATTTCACTTGGTTCATAAATTAAATAAGTTTGTGGAATTCTCTAAAAATGTTTCTTAAAACATAAAAAAAGCCCATAAATAGAAACAAACATCCTCATTTTTTTCAATAAGTTTTTTATTGTGAAAATATCATACAGAAGAGTTACAATTACATGAGCAATGTAATAAGTACATTTCTTATCAAGCATTGTTGCTGCCTCCTCTGTTTATCCCCAACCATCCCTGCCCTCCCATCACCACGCCTACACTCCCCTCCTTATAGCATTTTGGACATCTCATTGTTGCAATGGGTCAACTGTAACACTAATTAAACAATTTGGGTTTTTCCCTTTCTCTCCCCAAATTATACTGACATCAAATACCATAAAAACAGGGGTTATACCGTGGGGGAGGGACATACAAAGCAACAAAACCATCACCTTATAAATATATTAGAAACAGTAGCAAGAAAAAGAACCACTTGTGTCCTTATCTTGGGGTTCATTTCACCTAATATCATCTTATCTGACCATTTCTATTTGTCTCAGGCATATACTAGTTATTGCAAACAAGGGAAACCATGGAACCTACGTTTCTTTGGGCCTGGCTTACTTCACTTAATATAATTTTTCCAAGTCTTTCCATTTTCTAACAAATGGGGCAATATTATTCTTTCTTTGTGGATATTAACCATATTTTATTGATGCATTATCTACTGAGGGGCATCTGGGTTGATTCTATATCTTAGCTATGGTAAATAATGCTGCAATAAACATAGCTGTGCTGCTAGCTTTAGTATGGTCTTGTTTGTGATCATTCGAGTAAATGCCCAAAAGCGGGATTTGCTGGGTCATAGGGGAGCTCTATGTGGAGTCTTTTGAGGAACCTCCACACTACTTGCCAAAGTGGTTGAACAACTTTACGCTCCCACCAACAATGCAGTAGGGTTCCCTTCGGTCCACATCTTTAATGTTGAAAATTAAAGAGTGGTAGAGCTCTTGTCAAACATAGGTTTAATACTCAGAATAGTAAGAAAAAAAAGCAAACCGAACAATGGCAAAAAGAACACAATAACCAAGTGAAGGAATGGATTGTCTAAAGACAAAATATTTTGATATGCATTTAATAATCTAATTGATATTAAGTGATTAGGAAAATGATTATTTCTGTACTAAATTAAATGTGCTTACTAAATATTTATGACACTGAATTTTTTCTAATATATTCTCTAGTTTAAATAACACACAAAATCATAATTTTCTTTCTAAAATATTCTCTAGTTTAAATCACTGACAAAAATCATAATTTCCTTTCTAATACATTCTCTAGGTTAAATTACAGACAAAATCATAGCCGACACCCAAATAGCCAAACTGGTTGCAGAAATATTGATGCCCAGAGCAGGGATGCTGGAATCTTGTGGAGCAGTGAACCTAATTGCTCGTTTGACTTCTGATATGAGATGAGATTCATTGTTGCCTTTGATTATAATGAAGATCTTCGTGCCATTCTCTACTTTAAAACGTTCTGCTTTAAATCCAAATGTTTCTTCAGAGCCAGCCTCCTTAGATGTTAGATCAACAGTATGGTCAAAATCATGTTGGAGCTCCTGGGAAGACTTCCTTATTCTTATGGTGCAGTTGCCAGCTGGAACACAGACAGACAGGATGGCTCACTGCAGGCACGTTGCCTGGTGGGCACTGATCAGATGCTCACTATAGTTTAGAGAACGCCAGTTACAGCGTTTGTCTGGTTACACAATTGTTCTTAGTATAACAAGTACATGAGGTTTTTAAAATGTATTATAAGATCACAGAAAATTTTCATTCACTGCCATGAAGCACTGAGCCTCCCTCCCTGACAGAATTTAGTTTATGCAGAGAGATATACAGAGCTGAATGAGCTTTTTGATTTGGAACAGGGAGCACAGCAATGCTCAAGTGTGCTTTCTTATGAAGCTGAAAGAAAGTAATATGAGAGGGGAAGAAGTGAGATGATCAAGGAACAGAGGAGTGGGAGGAGACCCAAAAGCTGGAGTTTGTACTAAGCTCAGGACCTAGGGCAGACCTTGACTGGTGATCTCCATTACTGGTTTTCTAAGTAATAGAACGTTTTACCTCAACTTTCTCATCTGAAGCTTATCAAAAATGGAAAATATAGATTTAGTCATTTAGCTCTATCAAATATTTATTGAGTATCTCCTACTCCACTGTTGAGAATTATACACAATAGTACATGAAGTGGTTAGCACAATTAAATACGTAAAGAATGAATGTTTGAAATGTTAGCTACAACTATGAATAGTTAAGAAAGGAAGTAGGATGCCCACATAAAGGCTTCATCCCAACTGCTTTTAAAATTCTACCAGAGTGATGTTCTAGGTGGTACCAGTGGTTCATGCTCATAATCCTAGCTACCCATGAGGCTTAGAGGTGAGCTTGTTGTTTTGAAGCTTAGGCAGGCAAGTCTATGAGACTTATCTCTAACTAACCAGCAGAAGCTAGAAGTTGAGCCGTGACTGTAGGGATAGGGTACAAGCCTTGAACAAAGAAGCTCAGACACAGTACTGAGTCTCTGGATTTAAGAATCGGGGCTGGCATTCACATTTAAAAAATATATCCTGTAGCTAGTTATGGTGGCTTCCATATGTAATCCCAGATTCTTTGGAAGGGAAGATGTGAAGAATCTTTGCTCAAGACCGGCTGGGGCATAAAGACTCACATCTTAACAAACATGGTAGAACATACCTGCAATCCATACTATGCAAAAGGTACAGGCAGCAGAATTGCAGTCTTCTGCCAGTCCAAGCAAGAAGTTTAAGACTGTCTAAAAATTCACCAAATCCAAAAGAGCAGACTCAAGTGATAGAGTGCTTGCCTTACATGCTTAAGACAATCCCTATCCCTAATATAACAACAGATATGAAAACTAAACAAAAAACTTTTCATGTTTACAATTTGATGTTAGAACATTGAGTGTCCCTCTTTGAGATGAAGACTTTATTTGTTATGTTTTGTGGAAGGATGACAGTATTTTAAGAATGAGGTAAGTAACTTTTGCCTTTTTTTTTTATGGTGCGGTTCCTGTGGCTTGAACTCTGGACCTGAGCTTCTTTTTGCTGAAGGTACTACCACTTGAGCCACAGCCCCACCTCCAGCTTTTATGAGTTTTATGAGCTTTTATGAATGTCTTAGGGACTTTCCTGACTGTGTTGGCTTCAGATCAGTCACTATCCTAGATCTCTGCCTCTTGAGCAGCTAGGATTATAGCAGTCATCCATCAGCACCTGGCCGGGCTAGGTTAAGATTAACATGTAGTTTCTCTATACATAGCCTTGTTGGCATACTCTACCATTCTGCACATAAACCTTGTGTTCCACTGAGATAAGTCTTCTTCTCCCTTTCCCTCCTCCCCCCTTTCCCCTCCCTCTCCTTCCTCCCCTGTTTAACTCAAATATTATGAAGGTTTTCTTCTTTAATTTTAATGTTTGACAGGCCTTGAGTTTGAGTTCTTGGTCTTGCACATGCTAGGCAAGCACTCTACCACTTGAGACACATTGCCAGCCTGTGTTTGCTGTTAGCTTCATGTTTAGACAGGACCTCACTTTTGCCTTGCACCAATCTTGGAGCATCACCACAATCCTCCTGCCTTTGCTTCCTGAACAGCTGAGGTTGCAGGCTCACCTTCCCCATGTGTAGCTCCTTTGGTGTGTTATGATGGGGAATTTTAACTTTTTCTCTGAGCTGTAGTCTTTGTGGAGTCTTCCTACCTTTTCATTAGCTGGAATTATAGGCAAGAGCGACTATGACAAGCTACTTTTCCTTTCTTGACCTTGATGATGTCATTGGATTTGAACTCCTTCAATGGCTTCATTTTCTCTATCTCTATACGGATTTTTTTTTTTTGTCAGTTGTGGGGACTCAACTCTGCTTCTGGGCGCAGTCCCTGAGCTCCTCAGCTCAAGGCTAGCACTCTGCCACTTGAGCCACAGCACCACTTCCAGTTTTTTCTGCTTATGTGGTGCTGAGGCATTGAACCCAGGGCTTCATGCATTCACTCTACACTGAACCACCTTCCCAGTCCTCTATATGGAAATCTTATTCTTCAAGGCCCAGACAAGACCTCTTTCTCATGATGTCTTGCTAAAGTAATTCATTGGCCTTGATATTTTCTTCCATGAACTTCTACTGCATGGAATGGTGTTTTCCAGATTTTTCTGGCTTAACTTTTCATTCTGATGAGATTCTATTGCTCTTGAGAATAGACTATATTTTTATACTACCATCTAGAGATCACAATATTGTACTGGGTATATATGTGTTTTCCTTAGTTACTAGTTGGCCAATGATATACTTGTTAAATTGATACCCCAAATGATACAAGTACAGAAGTATAAAATATTGGAATCTTATGTAATTATTTTGGTAATTCTAAATCTGTATTTCTCTTCTTGCTATAATAGGGGATTGAACTCAAGTCCTCATGATCGTTTTTTTTTCGGGTTAACTGGATATGGAACCTCATGGACTTCTGCCCAAAATGTGATTTTCCACATCTCAGCTTCCTAAGTTTGTCCAGTTACATGGATGAGCCACTGGCGTCTTGGTAAATCAGCAGATTTACCAGGTATGGAAAACAGGTATGGAAAGTATGACTGGGAAAATATAAGTCCTTCACTCAAGATTATGGAAATGCTCATTTCCTCTTTGAGATATCTTTCTTTATCCTTTGCTGGCCCTTGGGCCTTGACTTCAGGGCCTGGACACAGCTTGTTTGCTTAAGGCTAGCACTCCACCACTTGAGGCCACAGCTCTACTTCTTACTTTTGTTCTTTTGGGCAGTCAATTGGAGATAAAAGCCTCATGGACATTCCTGCATGGGGTAGTTTTGAATGATGATTCTCAGATGTCAGCTTTCTGAGTAGCTAGGCTTGCAGGTGTGAACCACCACTGCCCTTCTCTTAAGGTATTTTATGATGTTTAAGTGAAATGCTTGCCAGCCACAATTATCCTTCCTGCCCTTCAGAAGAAAGTACAGAGTGATAATTCCCCAGTGCCTACTAGTAGCACATCACTTCTTTTAGTTTCTGTAACCAGCACAAAGGACATTTCATAAGAGACAAATCTTCTACTGAAGGCTCCACCTTTACCAAATTAATTTAGAGCTATATATTTGATTATATGATTTCCTTCTTGGTGTTTTTAGTGGCAATACTAATATTTGATTTGATTCTGCTATCTATTGAAAAGTCAGAGGAAAATGATGTATTTTCAAAGTGGTCATAGTGATTGTTTTCAACATTGAAGCAAAAGTATGGGTGATGTTCTATACTTCTTTTGGCTTATAAAAGCTTCTTTTCTATTTTTTAGAAAAGCAAACATGCCAACATTAACAATAAAACAACATGCCCAAACAAATATGGCTGTGTGTGTGTGTGTGTGTGTGTGTGTGTGTGTGTGTGTGTATGTGTGTCTGTCTGTCTGTCTGTCTGTCTGTTTGTGTCAGTCATAGGGCTTGAACGCTAGGCCTGAGCACTGTCCCTCAGCTCTTCAGATCAAGGCTAGTGCTTTACCACTTGATCTACAGTTCCCTTCTGGTCTTCTGGTAGTATATTGGAGATAAGAGTTTCACAGTCTTTCCTCCCTGGGTTGACTTTGAACTGAGATCCTCAGATTTCAGCCTCCTGAGTAGCTCGGAGGACAGGCCTGAGCCACCAGTGCCCAGGTACAAATAGGGCTTTGAAAATTCTATTTAGTAAGTAAGATGCCATTAGCATTCCATGTCTTAGTACTGCGAAATGACTTGTCTGGTCATGTGTCTTTTATGGTCATTGACTTAATAGGGATAGTTTCTAGGAATCTCATGCAGTTTTAAACTTAATGATTAATGAATAAAATTATACAAGTAGAGAATGCTTAGAAAAATGATTTTCCTTGCCAGGGACAGGAAGCAGTTATTCAGGCCTCCCCAATTAAGTTTAGGATGGTTCAAACTCAGAAAAGCAGTTTGGTACAAAAGGACATGGCAAGAACGGGTTAGAATTCTAGGTTATTGATATAACTTGGCCCAATTTCTATCTCTTAGTCTTTCAGGTTTCACATCTGAAATCAAAGGAATAATGGCCTATGTAGACACCCGCAAATACTATTTATAAATGAGACAATAGAAAATGAAAGGTAAGGGATATTCTTTTAGAAAATGTAAAAGCTTAATGTCAAGCCTACCTTTGCCTTTATCAAGGGTACTGCCAGGGTCAGTCCATGAAAGGTGAACAAGACCTCCTTTAACCTCAGTCTCCAAGCCTGTGATTTTACTGAGCGGTAACAAGGGAGTATTGTCACCAGCAGGAGGAGCTCCTGATACAGTGAATGACCCTCCTGAAGTTGGTCTGCTGACATTTTCCAGTTGAGCTTCTGCCAAGTCTTCTTTAACTTCAGGTCTGGGTGGGTTCAGTACAATTGCACCTACCACAAAGAGTAATTTTGTAACTTTTCATATTGTCATGTGGATACTTCATCTTGTAGAGGGGTAAGTTAAAACTTAATGGCAGACACAGAAAAGTGACAATTTTTAGTGAAACAACCCTCTTGTTTTAGTATAACTTTGAAATGAATGAGGAGATATTATGCTATGTTAAAACCATCTTTGATCTTTATTAACTGCTTGACTAGAAATTCTTTGAGGGCAAAGATCCTTTTTAACTCAGGGTCCCATTCTTACTGGCTAGACACTGTATCACTTAAGCTATGCTTCAGAGCTTCTGGGCCTCCTTATGTTCTTTTCTGGATATGTTACCAAGGTTTCTCCCCAGGCAAGCCTGGGCCTGCAAGCTTCCTATTGAGGCTCCCACAGATGCCCATCATGCCCTTCGTTTTGTTGTGATGGAGGTCTCAGGAATTTTTTGCCCCAGCTTGCCCAGAATTGCAATCCTGCCAATCTCTTCTTCCAGAGTAGCTGGTATGACTAGTGTGAGACATGAGCCTGGTACAAGCATTATCTTTCATTCATCTTTGTAGCAAGCATCTTCTATAGTGCTGGCCTCATACCAGATGCTCAGTCCAAAATTTTTCATTGTAATTGAAATCAACCATGGTAGATGTTAACAAAACATGTGACAACCTATTTAATACTCAACCCAATAGTATAAATATAATTTGGAAACAAAGAAGTTGAATACATAATTATATACTTGACTCTTCCATATTACATAAAATTTTCCATGTTTGCTACATGCAATGTACAAAAACATGTGACTCGTTTCAATTTTAATGCTACTTACCATTTACAACATGGCCAGGTATGTACAGAGACTTGTTCTGTCGTCTTAAACTCCGTCTAGCTGTGTGAATACTTGCCTGGACAAGAACTGTATCTACCACTTCCATTGTAGTCCATAAAATATCTGGAGTAGATACCATCATTTTTGACAGTACCAGCACCTTTAGGTTCAAATAAATAGTTATCCAATAAATACAAATGTCTACTGTTTCTCTCCTGGAACAGTAATGATATCAGCAGTTTGGGAGATAGCACAGCACATATGAATACTAGAATTAGACTCCATTCCAACCTTGGCTTAGCCACATGCTAATCTTTTGATATTGAAAACAGTCTAACTGTGATTGTATGTATTCAACTGATATTAGTGGCTATTATTTTATAAAAGAACCTTATCAAAAAGAAAATATATCTAGTTGGGGAAATTATAGTTGAAACACTAACACTAAGAATACTGGAGCAAGATTGTATTCATCTATTCCATGAGAAACATAAAATTTTTCTTGAGGTTGAAAGATAAACGTGTTTTATTTTACTTTGTCAGACTCAGTAAAATGTTTATAAACGTTATAATCTTGAAATATGTAGTATAAGCTTATATATCTCATGACTTCATCATAGAATTCTCTAGGATATGTTTTAAGTCCAATGACATTTGAAGCACATGTTAGTTACCTGCATCATTGTCCAAGAGTTGCTGTCCAAGAGTTGCTGTCCATCTTCCATTTCGATAATGACTATTATATCAATGTCCACTATAAGCATATCCTCTTCCCTGACAACTGCATGAACAATATCTGGGTCTATGTGTTGTGCTGTATTTTGACTCCTGTAAGCAGCTGCCATTACTGGAATTATGGAAGGATTTCTTGCTCCAGTGGTCATTGTGAATGATAGAAATTGAGGTTGGGCTTGATTATTTAAAAGTCTATAAGTCCAAGTACCTGTCTGGACAAAAAAAAACAAAAAACAAAACCTCCTTCAAAGCCTTGTTAATATTACTCTTTCCACCCAGTGGCAGTGGTTCAGACCTGTAATCCTAGCTCCTGGGGAGACTGAGATGTGAGGATTGCAGTTTGAAGCCAGCCAGGGCAGGAAAATCTGTAATAAATTTTAATTTCCGATTAAATCAGAAAGAAAGGGAGGATTGATACCATGGATCAAGTAGAATAGTGCCAGTCTTGAGCAACAAAACAAACTCTTTCCTTGGGATATAAACTGATTTAAAAGTATAAAGAGTTTATGTATTTATACATACACAATACATATATATGCATATATGTGTGAGTATACATATACATTTACATATATGTGTTGTATGCATGTAGCTTATTTGTATGTATATATATATGTATATGTGTGTGTGTGTAATTTTGAGGATGGAAATGGTTTTCATCTATACTAGATAATTGTCTTTTTCCAAACTACACCCCCAGCTCTAATAGTGAATTGAAAGCTGATTTTACAAACTAGTAAATAATATGAATGTGAATTATTACATATTCCATTAATTTTTATGGCAGATGACCTGTTTTAATATTAATATTGAAAATATACAAGACAAAATCATATTTATAAAGCAGTAATTAATAAAAACAAAGTGAAAATGAGAGAATAGAATTACCTCTGCAATGCCCGGTATTCGAAGATGGGAAGTTCGACTATTTTGCTTATGTTCTTTGAAATCTGAGGTATCATATTCTTTTCCTTTGGGATCTTGGAGAATAATTAGTGGTTTTTGCATTGTCCAGGTAACAACAAACAATGTGTCATTTCCAGTGGTGCTGTCCACAGACACTGAGCCATTGGCCCATGTCTTCCCTGTGACATTCAAGGCTTTGCTTTCCAACTGTTACATCAGTAAAAGGAAACACGTAAAACCAATTTGTTATTTATTTTGACAATACCTCAGCTTGAACTCAGGGACACAAACTTGTTAGGCAGGTGCTCTGCCCCTGAACTACACTTCCAGTATTTGTTTGTTTGTTTTTGTTTGTTGGTATTGGGGGGCTTGAACTCCAGGCCTGGGTGCTGTCCCTGAGCTCTTCTCAAGGCTGATGCTCTACCACTTTGAGGCACAGTGCCACTTGTGGTTTTCTGGTGGTTAATTCTCCATAAGAGTCTCATGTAATTTCCTGCCCTGGCTTGATTTGAGTTCTGATCCTTCTACCTCAGCCTCCTGAGGATGACAGGCATAATACATATGTCTAATTGGCTTCAATTCCAAGTTTGGCACTTACTATATGACTGCACAAACCATTTTGTTTCTTTCATTTCTAGGATAAGAGTAAAATTCCTTGCTCTTGAGTATATGCTAAAATTAAAATAGTTTCTATTTTTCTGACAAAGTCTGGGGCTTAAACATAGATTATTATTTAAAGTCCCTGAGAATAGCTTTCTTTCTATTAGCTTAACTACGAGTTTTGTCTTTTAATTATTCAATAAAGGAATGATTACTAATACTAATGCATAATTAAATCATAAAATGAAACAGATTGAATACTGGCAGTTTGGATCCATTTTACACAAATGATGAATACTGTCCAAACGACATGGGGAAATTATAATGGTCTGAGTATTTATATGTACAAAGGTAGAAATAGTTATCAAAATAAAAATATATGAGTAAAAAAGTTTTCTCTTACCTGGATATTCTGAATGAGTTTTTCATCTTCTGTTACATAGGGGTTAATTGAAATGACAATACCTACATATGCATTGGCAGGTAATTTTACCATTGAGCTTTTTACCTCTGACAAGAGATGCAGAGCTAAGCATAGAATGCCCCTCAGACTGAACACCATTTCTGCCCAGGCTACAGTTATATAGAAATGCAAGGGGGGGTATTTATTTATCTGCCTATTAGTTTAGGAATTTGAATCAAGACCAAACTATTTGCATAAATTTGATATGGTAAAATACACTAAAATGTCTAGGTGAACTTCCTTATTCATTCTAAAGATGTAGTTATGAAGTAGCAGCAGGGATTATGCTAAACATCCTTAGCATACTCTGTGTAGATAGTCAAGCTCATAGTAGTGACTGGTTATCCTTGTTACTATTAAATGTGACCTCAGGATCTCCTTACAAAAAAGCTCTTCAGGGAGAGGCAAGATGTGGTAGGGAATTAAGGGCTTAATTTTATTTATTTTAAATTTTATTTTATTGTAAAGGTGATGTGTAGATGGGTTACAGCTGAGATTCATTCAGTAGGAAAAGTTTTAGCTTCTGTGATTAGTACTTGTTTATTTCAGCTTTCAAATAACATTGAATGCTTAAGTTCTTTCATAACTTGGGAACTTAATATGCTTCAGGTAAGTTTTCTTTCATTCTTTTAATTTTTTTTGATTGAACACAAATGGTTCTTAGCTTGAACTTGTTGTACAATGGCATTGTGAGCTGGCTCTAAAGTTAGAAAAATACAAACCCTACTCTTTCTTGCTTTGGTCACTTAAAACTCATGGGATTTTTATTTTTGTAAGAATTATGCAGTTCATTTTTTAGGCTTTTTCTTTTGTTGTGCTAGAATAATATTGTTGTGTAGATTAATTTGTACTTATAGAAGTTCTAAATCTATGGATCAGATCTACAAGGTTTTCAAACAAGCTCTTAATATAATACCTCAGTAGTAAGTACTATATGTATATAATCAATACAACCTTGTTATTCACTTTGATGATTAGCGTTTCCATTTTAATTCTTTTATTTTGTCATCATGTAAATACAAACTCTCAATGTTTTATGGCAAGTCCCCGTGTATGCCTAAGACTAGAGGTAGAACTGTCTGGCACACTGAAACCACAGGCTTTTTGGAATGCTCTTTCATTTTTTCTTGCTGTGCCCTTGCAGCTCCAGCCTAAGACCAACCTCATTTGTAAAAATGTACTAAGCCATCCACATGAAAAGTAATATATATTTCCTTTGAACTTGTTTGTGCCTAACATCTGCATTGCTCTTGTAATTTGCTATTTTATTACTAGGACTTGGGAGCCTTGTGCTGCTTGAGTCATCCTCCCAGTCCTTTGTGCTTTAGCCATCTTTCAGAGAGGGTCTTACAATGTCACTCCAGCCAGGCTTGGATGCAGTCCTCCTACCCACAGCCCCCTGTGTGGCTATCATTATGGGTGTGAGTCCCCACATCTAGTCTTGCTTTTGTTATTATTCATATGCATAGTAGCTTGTCTCCTTTCTTGGAAGGAGAATTTTTTTTTCTGAGATTAATCTTTCTCAATCTTAGTTTCTTTAACTATAAAATGAGGAAATAAAAACTAGAAGAGCTGTTGGTCAGATTAAATACAAGAACAAGGGGAAAATACTTGTAAATGCTGGTGCATATTAGACTCACAATGAATGCTTATTGAGTATGGAGAAAACTCAAACTGTGTAATTCCTTAGAAAGTCTAACTCACAGTTCAGCCAGGAAACCTGTATTTGAAAGGGGTAAGATGGGCTCAATGGAAGGGTGGGTAGATGAATGAAGAGAGGATGGGGGAGAATACAGTCACAAGTGTCAAAACAAATCCTCCAAACTTGTGCAAAGTGAGGGAAGGTGGCCTGTTGAGAGGGAAGGGTGAGAACATTGAAAGGAGGCTGACACTGATCAATATGCATTGTGTCCATAAACTGCTTTGCTGAATGGAAACTCCTTTGTACAATTATTTAAAGATGATAAAAATGCATATTAAAATACATGTTCAGTGTTTTCCCTTGTTTCTTTTATATGGAAAATATATGAATGCATTTAGGTGCCCCATCCAATGCTCTACTCTTGAGCAAGTAAATTATGATTACATATAACATTACTGATGGAGAAATTAAAATCACTTCTGTAGATTAGAATTGTAGAAAAAAAAAAAAGAAGAAAACAACAACAACACAAGATAGGGCAAGAACAATTCGATAGGAAAGTTATAATGTCATCACTAGAGACCCAAAAATTGGGTAATATTTATGGTGAAAGGATTCAGGAAGACTTTGGGAGAAAGCCATTTTTAGGAGATTGAAGAATGGAGAATTTATACTTTCCAAAAAGGAAACCTTTGGTATTGAATCTCAGAACATTCTGACTGGGGTAAGGTAGAATCTCAGTGTGGTTTTGATTTGCATTTCTTTTATGGCCAGGGATGTTGCTTATCTAATTTGTGGAAGGGAAAGGGAATCATAGAAACAGCAGGACAAAGGAAGAACTAAAGTAACAATGTAGTCACTAGACACTATGTTGGAGATGAACTTTACAACTGGGAGGGTGGGATGGGAAGTGAGAAGTTATAAGCAGTGAAAGTAAGAGAGGGGTAACAGTGATTGTAAAATGTACTCATTGCCTTCCTTACGTAACTGTAACCCCCTGTTCATCACCTTTGCAAAAAATCCAAATTTAAATTTAAATTCAGAAAAACCCAGAGAACATTCCGTTTCAGAGCTTACTTTTTTTTTTAAAAGTATACTCTATTTCCACCATTTCCCTTTTTTTCTTCTTAGCAATGCCAGAAATTAATCCCAGAGCCTTATGCATGCTAGATAAGTACTATCCCTGAGCCATACCCCAGCCCTCCGGCTGTTTTCAAACATATACCACAAATAGTACTTTTGAAAACGAGGACCAGAGAGTATAAGCTTGAAAAATACTTGGAAATTAGCTTCTTTGATAAACAGTAGTCGTCATTAGAAGAGTCTAGAGAGAGTGAATTGTTGAGATTTAGGATAGGAACACATGGCCTTGCACTTACTAAACAAGTGATTTAACACTTGTGCTAGGCTTCTAGACTATTACCATTAATTTTGTATTAGTCAAAAAAATCTCTATCTTGTTTCAAGATAAGTCATTTTAAATTGGATCTTAAATTGAGGTAGACAAAACTGTAAAAATCATATTGTCACAACATTCTAGAATGTAGTCTTCAACTAAGTTCTCTTACATGTATGTGTGTCCTTTTCTTTCTGTTCTTTTCTATTCCTTTCTTTTCTTTTTCTTTTCTGTTTTATTTTTTCTTCCTTTATAGCTTCCTTCCTTCCTTCCTTCCTTCCTTTCTTTCGTCATACCTTCCTTCCTTCCTTCCACTTGTGGAGCTTTAACTCAGGGTGTTATACCTGAGCTCTTTTGCTCAAGGCTGGAGCTCCACCACTTTCAGCCACAGCCCTACTTCCAGTTTGTGAGTGGCTAATTGGAGATAAGAATCTCACAGGTAGTTTTCTGCTCAAGCTGCCTTCCAACAGCCACCCAAAGATCTCATCCTCCCAAGTAGCAAGTATTACAGGCACAAGTCACTAGTACTGGGGTTTAAGTGGTTCTTATTGAAATCATTACTTCAGGAGAAGGATGCAAGTATTGGAGCAACAGCCCATTGGTTTATAGAGTCAAATTGTCTTCTGAAAAACAAAATAAAACCATGTGATCTAAACAAGGAAATATTCAGAGCTTACCTGTGGATATTGTTCATTAATTCAGAGATTTATAAGCTAACACACCTACTGATACAATCATCCTTAAATGTGATAGTTAATTCCTGTAGAGATTATACTAGAACTTTCTATTACATAAACTTGCAACTAACAAAAACAGTGGACCTTCATCGCATCTTCATTTCCTTGTTGGCACTCTCTTAGAATTCTCTTTATTACTTCTCTGTTTTCTTTCTTTTGTTTCTTTGTCTTTTCTATTTTGCTAATGGGGATCCAACCTAAGACACTGCACTTGCTAGGCAAGCCATTGCCACTGAGATACATTGCAGCCCTGGTTGGTTTTCTGGTGTCTCTTCATACCATATAAATCTTTCACCTATGATTTCTTTCTTACTGCTGCTTTTTATTTCATAAACATTGGAAGGTCACTCTATTTGCTGCCAGTAAACAAGCCCAAAAATTGATAATATTGTCTTCAGTTTTCTTATTTATTTAGTTACTCATTCACAAAAATACTGTAATAAACATTAGCACTGTGTCAAATGCTCTGATCATGTTACAGTTCTAACTTTCTTCAAGGTACTGATAAATGACCTTGTATGTTACTAATTATCTTAATTGATTTTTCTGTTGCTCTTTGTACATCCTTAAAAATTATTTCAATTCACATAATGCTATACTCAACCTTTTATTCATGATATACTGGGGTTTCAACTAAGGACTTCATGTTGCTAGGCAAGCAGTCCACAACTTGAGTCAGACCTCTAGTCTCCTTTGCTTTTGGGGATTATTTTATTTTGTTTTTATTTTATTGACAAGGTGATGTAGAGAGGGGTTGTAGTTACATATGTAGTGAGTTCATTTCTTGTCTAACTTGTTACCCCCTCACTCATATTTCTCCCTCTTTGCCTCCCTCCAAATCCCCCCATTCGATGCTATTGGTTTTGTAAGGTCCCTTGATTTTGGCCAAGATGGGCCTTGTTTCATGGCTGTTTTTTCACTTCTAATAAATTTACTCTGTTTACACATTTTTCTGCCTTTTAATTCTTTAGTGGGTATAGGAAACAAATTCATCCTTCTAGTTGGTATCAATAAAAAGAATATTTCATCCAGTTTGACAGAATGGGTTTAGTAATGCTAGATCAAGAGAATACCAAAATAAAAACATGAGATTGGGCAATAGCTGGTAGTTCAAGTCATATTTCTCCTAAGGGTAAAAGCAGAGACTTTCCTATAGCCTACCCTTTTTAAAACAATTCTCTTTATTTTTATGACTGAGACTGGGACTCCAACTCAGTACCTGATGCTTTTGCTCTTTGATTAATGCTCTACCAACTAA